CTCTGCACACTATTAAAACTGAGTGTTGTAAACTGTGCATGTTGTAACTCTGCATGGTGTAAACTCTGAACTTTGTGAACTTTGCATGTGTCCAGCTGAAACATTAAGTGTCGACCTGTAAGCTGATTGATGTAGCTAGCACAAAGCTTAAGTTGTCTGCGTGTTGCTTACAGTCTCGGCTGCAGATGGGTGTGGAACCGCTCCATTTCCCGTTGGGCAGACAGGTCCGTTTGGAGGAGCCTCTCAGCGTGTATCCAGAGTAGCACTCGTAGTTGGTCTCGTTGTCTGCGAAGTACCTCTCCTGAGGAGGAGAGATGTCCCCATTCTCCATCACGTTGGGATCTGGACACTCAACACCTGCATGAAAAACTAGTCTGAGTGCCCATTCAGAGCGAGACGTCTGAGGAAAAACCTGCGACCTTTTTACTCACGTTTGCATCGCTGTGGGAGGAACTTTTTGGGTAAAGGTCTCCAGGACCCACTGGGCTGACACACGCGGGTCAGGGTGGGGTATGGATAGTAACCTTCAGGACAGCGGTAGACCAGCAGGCTGCCTTTCAGCAAGTCTTTGGTCAACGTGTAATCACCGCCTTCCATGTCTATACTGGCCATTGTGCAGTCACACCGAACCTCCAGCCCTGGAAGGAGATGGGTCAAAGGTCACAGGTCTGAATTTAGAAATGACATATTTCACCTCAGGGGTGGGGCATTTGGTTGACTCTGCTTGTTCATTTTAACTGTTTTACTAAAAAAAACTAAAACAAAACAGAAGTCTTTCAAAAAAATTTTTAAATAAGTAAAACTTTTATTAATACATATTTTGCCTTTTAAACAATTATCTTTTTTTTTGTTCAGCATGTGCAAAAAAACTGAGATATTATTTTTTCCAACTTTTTAATTATTGTTTTATTTTTTAAACATTTTTACAACAGCTGCTACATTTTTGTGCCACGTTACCTTCAGAGATTTTTGTCTGTTGAGTTTAAAACTTATAAAAGATCCCACATCAGTCTAACAAACAATTATTATTTTACAAGTTTCTCATTCAACAAGCATCGTACATAAACAAATGGTCTTGGTGTTGAAAATACATATTAGACTGGTATAAAACATGTATATATGAAATCAGCGTGCATGTACTGCTCTTAAGGGTAAACTTTTGTTCCACTTGAACATAATGGACGTCTCTTTTTTCAATTGTTACTCTATAATAGTTTTTAAAACGTTTTAAAATTGTATTAAGCTATTTAAATAAATTAACAGCTTTTTGATATTGACTTATGTTGATAAAAATGGAAGAAATTAAATTTCTCCCATAGTTACTAAGGCTTTCCAGCTTTTGCAATCCGCTTTCAACATCATCCAGTCAGATTTGTTCCATCTTAAACTTGTCCTAAACGCCAGCAAAACCAAAGGGGTGTTGTTTTCAAACAGGGAGTCGGTCCCAGCAGTTCTTTCTTTGATTTCATCCTCAAATGGTGTCCCAATTGAGTTTGTCTGTTCCTATAAATATTTGGGTATCTTTGTCGATTCGCATCTCTCTTTTAAGCTCCACGTGGAAAACTCGGTAAGGAAACTGAAAGTTAAACTGGGTTTCTTTTTCAGAAACAGATCTTGTTTAACTCTGAATGCTAGGAAACACCTTGTAAGTGTGACTTTCCTTCCCTCCATTGATTACAGTGACATTATTTACATGAACGCTCCTACAAGAACCCTGCAGATGTTGGATGCATGGTGCACCAAGATTCATAACTGGCTGTGATTATCGTACCCACCACTGCACCCTGTATTCACTGGTTAACTGGACATCATTAACTTCATGCAGACTCTCTCACTGGTACATTTTCATCTTTAAATCACTTCTTGGTTTGCTGCCTTCATACATCTCCTCTCACATGTCTCTGCGTGAGTGCAGCTACAGCGTGCGCTCTCAGGACATTATTACCTGCAGTGTTCCCTCAGTGAGGACTGAACGAGGCAAAAGGGCCTTCTCCTACTCCGCTCCTGTTTCCTGGAATATCTTGCAAAAATATCTGACGCTCTCGACCTTGACCTCTCTATGTGGCTTCAAGCATCTGTTAAGTTCCTGACAAGAACCAATGCAGACATGTTCCTGTTTTTAGTATTCTACATTGCCTTATAATCTAGCTGTTCTTGTTTATTTTTTATATATATATTATTTTCTTCCATTTAATTTTTTTCAATTTATATGCTTTCTTTTATGATTGTCTACTGTTGTCATCACTGTTTGTTAAAATCAGGTCTCTCTTGTAAACAAGTCCTCGAGGCTCAATGAGACTAACCTGTATAAATAAAGTTTGAAGGAATATTATTATCATAATAATAACCACAATAATTCATAATAAAAAGTTATAAGGGCAGCAGCAGCCAACAGTAAAACGTTTCAATATTTATCTTAAAAGAAAAATGATCAAAGTCCCAGTTTAAGTGGTTTTCTCATACGTTTTAAAATAACAAGAAAGAAGAAGAATAAACTAAACAAATTTAATTAGGCTCCTTAAAAATAATTTTAAATTGTGTTTAAAAGCATCATTTATATTCAGGTCTCTAGTAAATGAGTCCCCGAGGCTCAACGGGATTAACCTGTATAAATAAAGGTTGAATAAATATGATTAACATTTGTGATGAAAACAGTAATTATGAAAAAAAAAAGGCTTTTTTTTTTACCACCAATAATCTGTGCGTCCTGATGGGTTTATTTAAACCAATGTTAAACACCCGGGCACTTTATAGTCATTTAACGGTACATATAAAGGGTCTTACCCAGACAGAGGAGGCCGAGGAGCGCAGCCACCCAGCTGCAGCTGACAGATGAGTCCATGTCTGAAATAGTTTCAATCTGACACCGAGCTGCCGGAACATAAACTTTATTTCAGAACTCAGGTTCTGGTTCTGGACAAAGACCAGCCTGTTACTCATTTACTCTGTGACCAAAGAAAGAAGATCGATGAGTGTGCCCCCCCCCCCCCCCCTTCAAATGTAAGAACCTTACATTTGAAGCAACGTGTTTAATGTTTATCTGACAAATTTAAACAAAACTAAATTAAAATCACCTGAATTAAAAACTCATGATAATTTAAAGATTTCAGATAAACTCAGATGATCACTCAGTTCTGCACCTCCTCACCCTGATCTTTCTTTTATTATTTTAAATCCTGGATTTTCCACCATGTGTTCATTTGTTGCATAAAAACTACCGGTAAGTGGTTGTGAAATAAAGACAAAGTACAAACTTTTGCTTCATCGTTTCCCGAAAACCAGGCAGAATCGTTTGTTTACTTGTTGATCCAGTTATTGGTTAAATATTAGAAAGAACCAGAAGGAACTTTTTATTCTGTAAAAGTTTTTAGTCACATACTGAGTCAACACTCTTTATGATCAGTCAGTAGTACGAAAGTCAAGAAGTTGATCTAATTATTTTTTTAAATAATTAAAATTATTAATACTGTATCTTGTAAACGCTTACAACCTGAACTTTTCAACACTACCTGCTAGACAAAGCTGATAACTGACCTGCCTATTGGTTTATTTCACAGACTTTTAATAAACAATACTGTATGTTGTTTAAACTACATATTTATTAAACTACACGTTTATACAGCTACATGTTTATTTATTATCATTCAGATCTCTTTTATTCAGGTCTCTCATGTAAATGAGTCCCAGAGGCTCAATGGGATCAACCTGTATAAATAAAAATTGAATGAATGTTCATTAAACTGAAGGCTTATTTATCTACATGTTTATTAAACTACATGTTTTTTAAACTACTTGTTTATTCAATAATATTTTTAATTAAAATATGGTACATGTTTATAATAAATAAATAAAGTGCTATGTGTTATCATCGTTGTATGTATTGTATTGTATGTTGTATGTTTGCAGATGATACAGCGGTGGTGGGATGCATCACAAACAATGATGAGTCCAGCTACAGGCAAGAGGTGGAACACCTGGAGAGCTGGTGCAAAGAGAATAACCTTCACATCAATGTGAAGAAGACAAAGGAGATGATTGTGGACTTCAGAAGGAACAAACACACCTACACCCCCCTGAACATAAGAGGATCTGCGGTGGAAGTGGTCTCCAGCTACAAGTACTTGGGTGTACACATGAATGACAACCTCAGCTGGAGCAACAACACCACCAGCCTGATCAAGAAAGCTCATCAGAGACTCTACTTCCTCAGACGGCTGAGGCGAGCTGGTCTGGGAAGCTCAGTCCTCACCTCCTTCTACAGGTGTGCAGTGGAGAGCATCAATGTGTGGCATGGAGGCTGCACAGCTGCAGAAAGAAAAGCTTTGCAGAGAGTGGTGAAGGCTGCACAGAAATCTGCTGGAATCAGCCTCCCCACCATCACAGACATCTACACCTCCAGATGCAGGAAGAGGGCCACCTGCATCATGAAGGACCCCACTCACCCAGCACACACACTTTTTGCCCCACTCCCCTCAGGAAGGAGGTTAAGGAGCATTAAGTGTAGAATCACTAGACTGAGGAACAGCTTCTACCCTGAGGCTGTTAGATTCATGAATCTCTAACTAGAATAATCACTGTGAAAAACCATATCATGTTGCTGCTGATCTGTTTCAATGTTGATGTGTTCATGCGTGCACATCTGCTCACAGACTCATGTTCATGGTTGTGCTGATGTTCAATGTTTTATGTTATGAGTGCTTAGTGTATATTTAGTTGGTGTTTTTCTTAGTTCATATCTTAGATGTTATTACTGTTTTTCTTATACATTTTATTGTTGGATGTAACTGGGACCTTGTGTACATAATTTCGCTCCACCACATGTACCACATGAGGTGCGAATGACAATAAAGAAACTCTGACTCTGACTCTGATACAAAGACGAAATTGGCTCTCTGCATTTGATCCCCGGTCATTGCACATCTCGTGGTTATTGAATTACATGTTTGGTAAACTAAATGTTTGTTAAAATAAATATTTATTAAACTCCATGTTTAATAAACTTTATGTTTATTATTGACACCTTTATTAAACTACATGTTTATTAAGTACATGTTTATTCAGTTACATGTTTATTAACTGCATGTTTTTAAACTACATATTTATTGTTTTTAACTACTGGTACTTGTTTGATAAACTACATGTTTAATACACTTGTAGTTTTTCTGGGAGCTGTCAGCAGAAGCTTGTCCTTTTTAGGAATTTAGGCTTAAATTTTCAAAACCATGACACGTTTTCACACACGGAACAAAGTAAATAATTGATTAGTTCATTTTAACGAGTCATGGTTGAGCCACAGTTTTTTTTTCCTGTCATCATTTGGTCCTAAACTGGTTAATCTTTTGTTTCATAAAATGTAAAGACTTTAAATCATTTTATGAAGTGGTTCAACCCATAGATGAAGACATTTAACAAAGATTGTTGCATGAGGTCAGACGTGTGTCATTCATTAATTGCATTTTTTTATTTAGAAATATAAAAAATATGAAAAAACTTGCACACATCTGTCAACATGTTGAAGATTTTGTCATATTTTTCATCCTACCTGGCTGCCTCTCTGTGATTCTGGATGAACAGCTCTGAGGATGATTTAGAGGCTCTGATCCTCTTTCTAATGGACTCTGAATGGTCTGTGTGATGATTTAACAGCTCTTTAAGTTTAAGTATGAGGCTTTAGAGGATGAGCTGTTTCAGACCACTGCAGTGATAAGACAAATGGATGAACGTGCTGCTGAGAAAGATTCAATTAGCTCATCAGTCCATGTTTAAAATTCAGTCAAATAAAAAGCCTACTTAACTATGACATCAACTACTTTTAGACAACGACAATGTTTGATTTGTATGTTAAGCAGAAAATGTTGGAGATGGAGTTTAAATTAGTGCAAATGGAAAAGGGAAATACCTGTTTTCTAAAGATTTATACTGACTAATGAGCAGAAAATATCATTTTGAGCTCATATAATAGATTTTCAACAAAAACAGAGACATTCTGACGAACCTTCAGTAGGAATATTCTTCTACATTCAGCTTTTGAGTCATTTTATTTTGGCAGGCTTGATGGATCAGAAGTAAAAGGAGAGAGTCTCTTAAAGCCATCCATCAATCCTTTGCCTCCTAATTTGACTTTATTGTTTTATTACATAGTTTCTTACTGTAATTGCTTTTATTGTTATATATTATTTTGTCTGTCTAAAACAGGTCTCTCTTGAAATTAATCCTAGTGACTCAGTGAGACTACCTACGGTATTTAAATAAAGTTTAAATAAAATAAAATTATCTGTGAACGTCTGTGATTCAAAGGAATGAACAGCAGCTCCAGGTTAATTTATTGAGACTAAGATTGGGTCAGCTTAACTACAATAAAATAAATAAATAAATCTAAATCAGCTTTATTGTCATTGCACCGAAGCGCAACGAAATTATATAAATAAATAAATTGGAAGAAAGAAAGAAAGAAAGAAAGAAAGAAAGAAAGAAAGAAAGAAAG